CACAGGAGAGAACCAACAAACAACTCTACTCACATACTACACCGAGCTCGTTGGGACTTGAACGCAGTTCACCTTGGTGAGAAGCGAGCGTTCTCACCACTACGCCACCCATGCTTTCCAAGAATGAATGAATGATTGTTCTCTCTGGGAAAATCAGTGTGCAAAGTCCAAAACACAACAGTTTTACAACACTCTACATTCTCAATGTGGATCCCATGTTGTCGTGGCATGTGTTACCATGCATCTTCCTCCCATAGAAGGGTCCCAGTTTCTTACATGTAATTCTGCCTTAATTCTCAGAAAAATGCCGACCTTCCTTCCAGCAGTGATGGAACTTAAATGCCCTGCAGACTGTATGTGAAATAATTGGTCTATGGCTGTTTTCTTCCCATATATCTTATTCAGGGTTCTCATTATTGGTCAGGGAATGGAGAATGCTCAAGTAGCTGAGCAAAATTCACCGCCATTAATAGCTTAGTTGTTTGTAAAATGATCACTTGATCTCTCTTGCACTCTCTGGCATGTTCATGGTCTTGTCCAGTTATTTCAAAACTTTATGAAAACTCTCCTTAAGGCCGATTTAGACGGTACAATTTTGGCCTACAGCTATGGTATACAACACACTCGCGTCTGTCGTAGGCGAGTTGTATGCTTGATTTACACGCTACGACTCGAAATGTTGGATGGCGCAAGCGTGTTGTATACGATAGTTGTAGGCAAAACTCGTATGGTCTAAACCGGCCTTTATTCCCCCTATGTTTGTGTGCTTATTCCCATGTAACAATTGCTATCTTTGTGATGGCTCCTTCTGGCATATAAGGGACAGACCATTAGATTTTTGAGGGGGGGGAGGGTTGGGCAGTTTATTATGTGCAGAAATTTTTTTTTATGCCTTTGGAATTTTTTTTCTGGCACTCTTCTCATGCACGATTTTTTTTCACTCTTTGAAGCTGTGCTTGAAGTTTTTTGGTTTTTGCCCAACCCCACCCCCACCCCTCGCCGCAAAAATCTAATGGTCTGTCCCTAAAGCAAACCTATGTATTCTTTGTGAGCTTCAATCTATTGTATCCAAACTTGAGATCTTTCGTTTTACCCACAAAAGTAGCCCTTGTAGGGTAATTCACCATGACCCACCTTGGAAAAACAGGGATGACATCTTCTTCTAAATTGGAACTCAAATCCATTTCTTCCACCACCTCGTCATCTTCCCTTGATGTGGACGGCATCATAATAGTTGTATAAGTGGCTGTTAAGAATTGAATTATAGAAAAGTCTGAAATCAGTCTTGTGACTTGTCAAGTTGGATGCACACGCAAACTTGAGAAAACAGTCTATTGGTTTTTAATGTGTTTTACATTGAAAGTCATACAGTCAATGTCATTAACGTTGTCCACCAAAAAAAGACATTTACACATTAATACATTTACACATTTAGACTAAAAGAAATATCACGTGTTTCATTATGTATTCTTTGCCTCGTGTGCGTCAGCCTGAACTTTAGATGTAAAATTCAACTCGTGAATCGAAAATCCAGAATGCCCCGACCATTTAGTGAGGATTTAAGATGGAGAATGGTATTTCAGCGTTTGTTTTATGCCAGAACGTTCGAGGAAACATATTATATTTTATATAATATATTTTTTAGTCTAAATGTGTAAACGCGTAAATGCGTAAATGCGTAAATGTGTAAATACATAAATGCGTAAATGTGTAAATGTATAAATGTGCAAATGTCTTTTTTTGGTGGACAACGTTAATGACATTGACTGTATATTAAGACACCCTGGAGCTGTGCTGTATATAAATTTTCTAATATTTGCTCCCTCGACATCCCATAATCTCTTAGTCTATTGTGTTTTCGTGTTAAAGTGCCTGTACCTCTTAACTCAATATATTCAGTATTGCCTCTACATGAAGTGTACATTTGAATAATAAAAAATTCCCATATGACTTAAGTGATGCATATTGCAGATATCAAGGTTTATACTTCCAATATGTTAATGAGTGTGATTTCATTATAGGACTTTGAGTTTGCTTCTCATCTCAAAATTCACCTCTTTGATTGCAAAATCAATTCAAAGTAGGTTCGACATTTCAGCTTTCCGTCACACAAAACGTTAGTGCCTATACCACCTAATTTAATATCTTCAGCATTGATTCTACATAAAGTGAATAATTGGATAGTAAAAAAAAAATCACAAGAAATGAGTGATGCATATCGCAGATATCAAGGTTTGTACTTCCAATATATTAATGAGTGTGTCATGTCATTATAGGACTTTGAGTTTGCTTCTCATCGTTTTTAACTTGAAACACTGATTACTGTGAGAAAACAAATTTGCTATTTATTTTCTATAAACCCTGATTAAGACGATGATGTTATATACAGGATTTTTTGTTGCCCTAGAAAAGTTCTGTATATTTAATTATAAAATAACTGTTATGAATGTCGCGTTCTGATTGGTTTGGAGCGTGTGCTTTATGAGAACACATTGCACACGCGCACACTTTCCGTTGCGTCATTCCTATCCATTATTGTAATTTGTATTTTATAAAAGAAATAAAAAACTTGCTTGCTGTGCTGTGTGCAGTCATAAAGCACTTGGGGGTTGGCAGAACACTCGAGAAGTGTCAAGAAGCACTCTGCTATGCGTCGTGCTTCTCCTAACACTTCTCTCGTGTTCTGCCAACCCCTGCGTGCTTTATGACAGCACACAGCACACAGCACGTGCACGCGTTTTGTATTTCTTTATCATGCCTATGATGACATCACACTCGCATATTGGAAATATAAACCTTGATGTCTCTAAGATGCATCACTCGAATGAAATTCTTTTACCATTCAACTATTCACTTTATGTAGAATCAATACTGAAGATATTGAGTTAGGTTTTGTAGGCACTTTAATATAGTATCAAAGATAATCTGGAGAAGGATCCTGATTATATTTACCTGACACTGTGGTAGGTGGTACAGGCTCAGCCTGTCCTGTAGTCTTTGTACCAGGATCACTTCCTTGTCTAGTGAAAGTCTTGGGGTTCTTTTTCGTACCAAATGCTGTGAGGATATTATTGACGAATGATTGACAAGCATCAGTGTCTACCCACACACGGTCACCTAAAGAATCTTCAACATAGACCTTCACAAAACTTTCAGACCAGTCTTCGATGTCTTGGTAGACGTAGAGAAGTATGTTTGCCGCCATTATTGGGATAATAGATGCCAGTGTTTTGTTCGCCTTTAGGTTGACGGAGATGTCTCTCTTCAGAAGGGATGTCAGTGCCTGTGAGAAGACAATAGTCCTCTTTACCTTCCATACAGTATCATATGGGAAGCACTGGTGGCATGCGCTGCTAATGCGCCGCCTCTCACCAATGCGCCGCCTCTCACCAATGCGCCCCGAATTCAAGTCCTGCCGATCTCGATGTCATATGTGAGTAGAGTTGTTTGTTGGTTCTCTTCTGTGCTTTGAGGGTTTTTATCCGGGTTCTCCGGTTTTCCTCCCTCCTCAAGAATCAACTTCTAAATTCTAATTCGATCTTTGGGCTTTCACTTAGTTTGTAGCCTAGCTCTGTTGTGATTGTCCCACACTGTGATACAACAGCGAAAGCTTTATAGATAGATAGATAGATTTCCTTATTTAACAGTCGTGCATGTGAAAACACAAATATAGAACCAAATCACACAAAGAATCTTATTCTYAAGAGAATGACATGTGGTCTGAAATGGGAAAAACATTACGCCCAACCTAAAGAGGTTTATGAACCATTCAGTCATTGTTTTCTCATTTCAGACCATGTGTCATTCCCTAGAGTACTACTTCCTTATTAACAGTCATGCATGAGAAGACACATAAATATGGAAAAAGATAAAACACAAACAAATAATCCATCTTATTCTCAACAGAATTACATCTAATTTTAAAGGTAAAAAGGTATGATATAATGCATAGTACACACTGTACCTCCAATATCCTACTGGAATCAAAATATTCAGGTTTATACTTGGCAAGGTAGAGCAGTGTAAGATATGACGCAGGATCAGGTTTGGCTCTATTGGACTTCAAACCCTTGATTGCACCCAGTAGCAAGCCATCGATTCTTGTCTTGTCTCCATTTAATTCTGCTTCCAGCAACTGTTTTTCCAGTTCAGAGGAATTAACTGAAAATAATGAGATAAATGTAGTTTGTTGTGAAGTGTGATCGTCCAGGTGAGTGTAGTCTTGAGAAAGACTGTTGTTGGTGGTGACTGACAGTATTGTTGTGAAGTGTGATGGTCCGGGTGAGTGTAATCTAGAGAAAGACTGTTGTTGGTGGTGACTGACAGTATTGTTGTGAAGTGTAATGGTCCAGGTGAGTGTAGTCT